GCTGTTCATCAGGAAATCGGTAACTTCAAATATTTTCAGTCTCAGGCATGGAGAGCATTTTAAAGCACCTGGGAGAACTGTGTCTTATATTAAATGAGTTGGAGATACTTGGTGTCCCAGCTGCAGAAGGTACTTACGTATGCAGAGTTGAAAGTTTTGACACAGTGAGATTTAGAAGGAGTTGGACATATATTTCGTTTTGCTTTTTCTGAACATCTTAGCAGGCATCTGCATCTTTTTGTGCAAATATATCTTTGTAAATCTGTCCCTTGCTTTGCTTCCTCAGGGATGCAGGTTATATACGCACAGCCCATCCTATTCACAGACAGCCCTTGCAATATTTGTTCAGTTCTGTGTCTTGCCCATGAAAATAGCTAGTTCCAAATTATTCAGAGGCACACCAAGTATTACCCTATACCATGAATGAATAATTTTGTTTTTGTTGTCTAATCCCTTTTAGTGCTCTTGCATGACATCTTGTAGCACTGATTTCCATAAATATGGTATTAACATGAACCCTCTTTTACCAGTTAAGATCTGTTGCCTCTTAACTTTGTCTACTGTGAGAAAGGAGAAATAAGAACACAAATTTACTTTTTTGACACGTAGGACTTCAGCCGTGTACTGACTGGTGGCAAAGCGTGGTTCCTAAATATTCAGTAGCATCAGCTCAGACCGTTCCATAGCATCCTAGCAAACTAAATTACATTGTTTGTCTGTTTATGTTGAAAACTGTTTCCCTTTTTGTAAGCAAAGAACTCCAAAGGTAAACAAAAGCCTTATTAAATGGGAAGCAGAAAACTGGGAAAACCTGAGTAATATATCAGCAGACTGTGGTCCTGAGCTCACCCTCTTCCCACAGCAGTCGGTGAAGTCACTGTCCTACAGACTATTCTTTGTCCAGGCTCAGAAAAGCCCTTTCTTGGGCACCTCCATCTCTGGCCCTGAAGGAGCACGTAGTCCCCGAGGTGTCTTTGCCAGCTGGAAGGGAGGAAGAGAGGGGATGCCCTAAATAGCATTAGTCAGACCATCCTGTCTCCTTGCAGCTCTTCTCCAGAAATTACTGCTCCCTGCTTCAAACGTCTTGCCTCTAAGTATTGGGCTCACCTGTGCTGGCCCTCACCTCACTGACCGTATCAGCTTCTTTTTCTTTCTTTCCAGTACAGAATAAACAAAAATTAAGCCACTCTTCTCCCTGTTGCCCTTTGCCTAGGACTCTCCTCCTGGAAGGCTTCATTGCTGACTGGGGCGACTCCTCAGCCTGCTCATGAACTGGGCACAGAATGTTTTGTCCATTCCTTACCACATGATTCATAATACTTTATTCATGCCAGCCTTAAACCTAGCAATATTTTAACAAGAATGCTCCATAGTAGCGTGACTGACATGCCACCGATGCCCTGCTTCTCTGGTCCCCCTTGCTCTGGGGAAGCAATATCCCACAGATGCTGGCAGAGTGCTCCCTACAGAAAGGAGCCTCTGTCCTCCTGGAGCTTCAGGTTGCTTTTCTCTCCCTTTACCCAGAAGTGTCAGCCCTGACCTCTTGCCTGTTGCTGCCGTGTACTGTTCATCATTTCAGATCTTCTCTGCTGTTCCCTTTAATTCATATTAATCTAAACAGTGACAGCTTTTCTAACCCTGAATTCTCTCCTGGACACACAAATTTTTCACTGACTTTCTGAGCTGCTTTGGTGTGTCCTGTATCCTACAGTGGGGCAGAGGTATCGAAGCCAGCACACTTTTTAAGCAAGTTTAAATTGAGTTTAATGATAGCGTTGTATTACTTTCTGCTTTTTAATCACACTTTGTTACCCGGCAGAGCATTTTACTTACTTTTTGGCCGCAGTTTCATACACAACCTGAGTCTCTATTGAACTGTCTAGAGGAAGACCCTATTTTGGTCTGTTGTTATTGATTTTCTTGTGGCTGCTAGTTCTGGAACATGCACAGAACCTAAACCAAGCCAGTATAAAAATATTTTGTTCAATTTGCAAGACCTTCTAAGAACAGCAACTCTCAAAATAGCCTTTCATGCCTGTACTGAACAGAAATGGGGGTTAGGTGGGAGATACACCTGCCCAGATGTATCAGATCAATGAAACAGGCAGGGAGGCAAGTACAGTGAGCAGAATGAAAGCAGAGAGCATTCTATTCCCCTGGGATGCGTCACACACACTGGGACTGGCTGGACCAGAGACGTTCACAACATGTGACAGACCTCACTTGACAGCCATGGTCTTCCACAGAGCATTTGCAGACCCCACAGCAATTCACGTGGGCCCTACTCCCCCTTGGCAATGGTTGAAGAGCAGGCTGCAAGCCAGGTGAAGTGATTCAGCAGAGAAGCAGGCCATTCCTGCCCACTCTCTTTCTCTGGGATGCCCTGCTACCAGCTCATCCAGTGTTGAGAGGGTGCCCTTGGAAAGATGGCAGCAAGGAGCAGGAAGACGATACTGGAACAGTTTGTTTGACTGCACCCCTCCTTGCTGCCTAATCTGGGGAGTACTTGGGAAGCAGGATAAGCAGAGCAGGCAGGAGGGATTGCTCTAGCCACTGTACTCTGAATTCAGGTAGGGAGTGGGCTGTGAGTGGAGGCAGAGAGCAGTCATGGTGTACTGGACCTCCCCATCTGCAATAAACTCAGTGTGCTCCTGAAGCACTGGGCTTGCAGTACATTCATCTGCTACCTGACTGCGTGTGCAGAAAGCCTAGCAGTTTGTCAAGGCAGCAGGCATACAGCCCTCTGCAGCAGGGGGCAGACAGCACACCTTGCTTACTGCCACAAGTCCAGGCATCCATTTTGCAGATAACTGGAAATGGAGCATCTCATAGCAGAAGGGCTTTCTCAGGCAGGACAGAATGAAAAGGATCTGCAGCTGACTGCAATGATTGTTTGACCTTCAGCAATTCATCCCATTGGACTTGGCAGACTTAGCCTCAGCCAGGTGGAGAGAAAGAACATCAGGCTAGAAAATGCCTGGTATGCTTTTCACAGCTTTTTAAATCTGTAAGTGATGGGAGGAAGATTCCCTAGCTGGAAAGAGGCAAGGCATTTCCTTTTTCTGTTAGGCATTGAAGAAGCAAAAGCCACAGTCCATCTGCCATGGAGAGGGAGAAGAAAGCTTGAGGAGTTTTCCACACTTTGACTTTTGGCGCTGCTTTATCACCCACTGGTCCTGGTTCTGATGAAAGTACTGGTTGTTCTGGTGTCAAAAGGCTTGTCAGTAAAAGGTACCAGTCAAAACAATATGCTCACAAGCGATAGAATATATTATACGCTAACTGCAGCAGTTTGATGTAAGGCCAGTTGCTTTCCAAAGGAATGTCCCAAAGTGTTTTCTGACTAACAGTGTCAGCAGCAGTTGGACATTTCATGTTGTCATATCTTGAAGGTGTTGAAATCCCCACACAGCGGTAGAGATATAGCAGCCGAGTTTGTCCAAAATGGGAGCTTCTGACTTTGGATTGAGTCATTTTGACCCTGTGAACATGAAATACACATTTTTTCATATGAAAGTCCTTATCTTCTGCAAGACATTTCAGTATGATTCCACATTTCCTGGTAGAAAACTGTTCACCTAGAAAAGTTTTGACCTCTAGCCAAAGATGCCTAGCAAGAAGAAGCCCTTTCCAATAAAAATGCACTTTTTCCAAGCCAGGATCAAAAAACAGTTTAGAATGAACCTGCCCCAGAGAAGTGCAGCGAACCCCTCTATTCTGAGTGTGTTGACTGCTGAGGCACAAGAATGACCTGAGCTTTGTCTCTCTTCTCCTACTGACTGCTGCTCCTGGACTTTCATTTGAGCAAGAATGTGTGAGTTATTTCCAAATGCCTGGGGGACATACAGCATGCATAACTGTTAAGTCTGTGTGCTAGAAGAACCCCCATGATCATCATGCCTGACCTATGTGGCAGAAGTCATAGCGTTCCCCTGCAGTAGCTCCTCATTGGCCTAGATAGAGGTTAAATCTGTTGAAGTATTTCTAGCGCATAACAAGTCATCCTCATAAAAAAGATTCTCAGCACTTGAAAACTCTTGATAACTTGCTCTATAAGTTACCTGTCCTAAGTATTAGCATTGTATGTCTAGCTTCTAGTCTGAATTTGACTAACTTCGGCTTTTTACTAATAGCTTTTATACCTATTCACACTGGACTGAAGAGGCATTTATTATCTTTTCTCTTTGTCTCCCCATAGGCATTTTTATATGACATAATTAAGTTAGCTCTTAATTTGGCAGGCCTGTAAATGTGCTGCAAGGGAAGCACATTGAGCACAGAGAAGCTACAATACTTCTCATCCCAACAGGACGCAGGCTTCAAAGCCATAGAATAGTTAAGCCTGGAATGACGTGATCACTGAACGTTTTAAGCCTTCAAAATTTGTTATGAAGGATCTTGATTTCAGATGCTTCCCTGCAAGTTGTCTTCCTTTAGGATATGAGCAAAGTCTTTCTTGTAGCCTTGTTTCATTTTTAGCAAGGATGAGTTCAATCCAAAAAGTAAAGAGCAGTCAATGGAAAGAAGGGGACCCACACCAAAATTTTATCATAGTTCTTTGCTTAAGAGAAAGGCTTGGTTCCTACTCTAGTTCATGCTTCCTCATTTCCTACTTGCCTATTCCAGTTTCTTCCACAGTATGTTCTGCTCATTGAGGCCTAATTTTAAGTTTTACAGGGTCTCCTGTGACTGAAGTAATGCAGAGCCATAGGCAGATTTAGTAACCCACCTCCTGCCTGTGATGGAATTAGGCATCTGAGAGAATCTGTGACACTTGTTTGAAAAAGACTGAGGATAGTCCCGTGTACTCATCAGTAGGAAGGTGTGGCTGGGCTAGCGCTGATGTCTGACTTGATCTTTCAAAGTTAGGATATGCCCTGGGCAGGTCATTGAGTGGGGGCAACCTCAGATGCATATGGAGAGGTTGATTTGACAAAGCAGAACTACTGTGATGTGTAGCTGGGATCACTTTTCATTATCTTTCTTTTGCAGTTCTCAGAGATGGGCTCTCCGTAGTGCTTTGGTTATGAAGAACCAAGGACAACTGAATTGTTGGTTTGCAATGGAGAAGATAGAGAGAGAAATACCAGCACTGTGGCTCCCACCCTGTTGCTTAGCTCCCTGCAGACATGTGTCACAAATCTTCCCTGTGCTATATTAGGGAAAGGAAAAGCTTACTTGACATTACTAGATCCACTTGCTTTCTTACATCATCTTTTTGCATCCTATAACCTCCTGGTGAAAAGAAGAACAATGACTTTATATAGCTGCTGCTTCATTCTTTTGGTATTTGCCTGGAACACTGCTGCCTATGGACCAAACCAGCGGGCACAGAAAAAGGGAGACATTATTCTTGGAGGATTGTTCCCCATTCATTTTGGAGTGGCTGCTAAAGACCAGGATCTAAAATCAAGACCAGAATCAGTGGAGTGTATAAGGTAAGCCATAAAGAAAGAAAATAAAAAGTCTTGGTGGAGGAGTCTCGACCTTTCTCAACTAGAGGCAACATGCTATACTAGTAAGTAATGGTCTGTGACCTGATGCTTACAGAGAACTGAGTTCTACAAGGTAATGGGAAAGGATGGTGTAAATAAAAGGAAAAAAACAGGTGTGTAAAGACACAGGTGTGTGTATATGCATTAAAGAGCGTGGTAAGTAATATTTGGACAGTGAAAGAGGGCAGTCCATATATTCCCCAAAGTTGCCAAAACACAGGTACACTGATCTACCTTGTCCTCCACAGTGGATGCGTGAATAGTATCCTAAAATACTTCCTAGAAGAAGGAAGGAAAATAACCAGGAGTGCCTTTCAGTCCATTTACTACAGTCCATACATAGAAAAATAGCTTGGAAATCAAATATTAGGGTTTTTTTCAGTTCTGCCTCTCATCTGCTAAGCACTTTGTAAACTGTTTAGTTGCCTAAACAAGTGAAGAGGTGAGAGTTGGACAGATCACTGCTTTTGAAAAATGCTGCCAAACACACAGCTGTCTCTTTAGGACTTTTACGAAGACTTGAACTCCCTGCTCAGACTTTCCTCACCTAAAGTCCTCTTCTTCTGTGTAAACAGTGCATATAGATTTTGTATACATCTTTGGCACTTAGTCCTGGGGGGAGAGGGGGTAATACACATGAAAATAGCTTCTCTTATTACTGAAGTGTAGCCATTTTTATGATGAAACACAAGGGATTTTTAACCTAACAATCCTGCATATAATACACATAACAATTTAGAAATGGGAAGTGTGACAGAAGTTGATTGCAACTGAAATGTCACACAGACAAAATATATGCAATTGATATGGAATTTTGTCCTCATCACGCATGGGAAAGCACTTCAGTGTCATGGGACCTCTTCCATAACCATACAGGAAAGAGTAATATTTATAGAATTATTTTGACTTCTGGTCCTAAAGTGGGGATCTAGTTCAATTTTGTTGGAGATGGTGATGAAGAATTGCTGACATTCCTCCTGCTGCACTTATAGATCCCAGGTGTGGTTTCCCACTGAGATACTGAACAGGAAATATCCATCTAGGTTACGAGATCATACCCTGATGCTCTCGTAGGAAGCACCCAACAAGAAGTGTAATTAAACAGGCGTTCTTCTGGTTTATTCTGTGCACGCACATGAACATCATGAAGGAAATGTATGTGCAATGTCTACCTCGTGGAGTAAGAAGTTCTCCCAGAATTTCAGCTTATTTCATCATTTTCTCTCTCTTGGAAGGAGCATTTTAAAAGTGGAACGTTGAAGAGCAATGGATGTTTTCATCTCTCATTGTCTTCTTCATTTGCTCCATGAGGTAGGCAGGACAGTACCAATATTTGTAAACTGAAAGTAGCATTCATTTCTGTCAGCACTGGGTCAGTTTTGGTAACTGTTTTGACAGGGGCACATTATTAGAATGGATCACAGAAGAATGAAGCAGTCTGTTTCCCCAGGACGACTGCTAGTGAGTGGTTGCCAAAAAGCTTTGTTATAATGAGGTAGCACTGCCAACATTGGGAAAGTGCTCAGCAGCCAAACAGGCTGTCTTATGGACCTATTGGGAGCTCCTTGTGGATGGCATTTGAGCTGCCAAAAGGCATTTTCCACCTGAAGTTTGCTGGTGTGGGATCTGTATTCCCCTTACTCTTGCACCAAGGAATGGCAGATGGAAAGGAGTTGACTAAAGAGGCACTTTGGGCCTCTTTGCCTGACTCCTTCAAAGAACTGAATAAATCATGAGTTGATAGCATAGGGCAAGTATAGAGAGAATATTTAATGAGAGGCAGAAATCTAGCTGCAGAGCTAGTCATAATTACAACAGGAACAAGGGAATGATTTGACCAGATGTAGCTGGAAGCAGTTTCATCACACATGCTTTCACCAGAAAATGACAATTTCCAAGAAGGGTTCAATTCACAAGAGGTCGGGTTGGAAAGACTTTTTGAATCTGGTCATCAGATTTGAATAGTGAAGATAATCAATCTATAGGACAGTTTATGGACTGCGGTGAATTCCTTGTTATTGGACTGTTTTAAATTGAGAGCAGATATTTTTCCTGATAGGGATTCTTTATTTCAAGCAGGACTTAATTCAGAGAAGTCCTGTTGCCTGACTTACGCAGAGGCCTCATTAGACAAAAGTGGTGGTCCCTTTTAGTTTTGAATTCTCTGACTTTGTAGCAGGCTGGGGCAGGGTTGTACATGATGACTCTAAGAGCCCAACATGTTCACCAAGTCGTGAGCTAAGACTTTTTAGCCAGACTCTTTCATTTCGTTATTGAGTTTCCTCATTTCTGGGCAGCTGGCTAGCCTGGAATGGGTCTAATCATATTTTCTGCCAAAAATTGATAGGTTTTGGTTTCTTTCCCAAGTAGAGTCTTCCCAATCTTGTAGTGTCAAAAACTTTTGTAGAATGAGAAATCCACTACAGGAACATAAAAATGGCTGTACCTGGTCAAACCAAAGGTCCTCTAGCTTAATATCCTGTCTTCAACAGAGGCCAAAAGCTAACAGTACTGCAGGGAAGGCATGTGGCAATACTTTCACAAAAGTTGCTAGTGCCTAAAAATTGGCAGCTCAGGGACTGCTAAATGAGGGATGATGTCTTTAGTATTTAATTACCCTGTAATGAATTTCTCTTCTATGAATTAGTCTGATCCCTTTTTGAACCCATGTAAGCTTTTGGCATCCACTGCCTTCAGCAGAACACAGTCCACAGCTTAGTCACACACCCCTTGTTTTCTTTGAACCTGCTGCTACTAACTTCAGTTGGAGCCCTCCTTGTTCCTAAGAAAGCAAACAAGCCTTCACTGTTCACATTGCCCTTGCTGCTGAAGATGTGACCAGTCTCTGCTGTATCCCACTCAGTCATTCCTCTATCCTTCCTGGCAAGTCCTAACCTACTTGCTTGATCCTGTTACAAAATCTGTTCTATACCTTCTCTGAGCCTTCTCCAGTGCTGCTATATTTTTCCAAAGCTGCAGCTGTATCAACTGTATATCTGCCCTGTTTTTAGACAGCTATGTACAGTTTTTAAATTCTGTGTTAAAGAGATGTCTCGTATCGCATACAAAAGTTTGATCCAGGAAGTATGTGGGAGTATGTGGTCATCCTCTCTCTTTCCTCATCCCCTCCACCATTAGGCAGCAATAGCAACAAGTCATCAGACTGTGTGACACATCAGACTGTATGACACACTCCTGGCTTTGACAGGAAGCAAAGACCTATTGGTCCCACTGAAACTCTAGGGATGGGTTGCCCCTGTCTGTTCTGGAGCTCAGCATCAGGCAATGTAAGAAATGTGGCTTCCCTTTCTGTTGAAGACTGTGTGCTGTTTGAACATTTTCTAGACATTTAGCTGTTTTCAGTTCCATCCCTATACTCTTAAACAGGGCTTCTCAAAATAGGTAAGACAGTTGTCTCTCCACTCTCTCAGTTTGCACACTCTTTGTATTCTTGTGGTATTGCATCTTTCTCCCCAGTTCAGCATGCATACTGACCTAAATCTACTGTGCATGCCTCACACATGGTTATTTGGAAAACTATTTACTCAGCAGTGAAAGGAAAAAAGAGCAGTAACAATTTCTTCACAGTTCTTTTTGTGCTGGTTCTACTGGAAATTTGTATTCACCCTTTAAACACTGAATTGTAGAATGCAAAGCGAAAACTTGCTCTTGATTTTGCAACCCCAAATGTAAGATTCCTGTCACAGAATGAGATGGGAATTGTTTTCTGTGTTTTAGAAATATTTACCTAGTTTATTGCTTAAGCAACCAAGTATTCTATATTTGATATAAACACATCTTCTGTCTTTGTATACCTCAGGTACTGTGACAGCAACTTTCCTACTAACATTTGCTGTCACATGTCTGACGTATACAATGGAGACAGATACTGAGCACAGCACAAGCTATCCATGACCCTCGTTCCCTGCCAGCACCCACAGAGGCTTAGTCATAACTTAATTTCTCTGCCCTTTTTCAATTCCAGCTAGATTCATTATATTATTACTAGTAGCAGTAGTATCGTTAGTAGTATTGTTAGTATTATAGCACAGATGGGCAGTACCCATAGGTTCCTCTTACTCTGATGGGCTGTTTGCAATAAGAATATATCCCCTGTGTGTTGAGATGCAGTGTTGCCAGTATGGTGTCACTACGTCCTAATTTTTGTGCATATTCCCCTTATTCTGATCAGCAGTCCAGTCAAGGTTCCAAATTGTGGCACAGAGTTTACATGGTAAAACATCATCCCCATGTCATAGTGCACAGTTTCACAGAGCACAGCTCCAGGACATTTTAGCTCACTGAGTCAACGTGTCTATGAGAGATGAAAGAATTTTAATTCTACTCCTAAACACTCAGCCTTGTGGATATATTTGGTAATCCGTCTAGAGAACCGAATGAGTATTGTGCTGTTTAGAACTTCCCTTCTAAAACCAAATTATTTCCTTTTCCTCTTTTTAAGTCTTTTTTTTTTTAATCTACACAGCTCCCCTTAGCCATAGCCCTAACTTTTGAGAATGGTAAGCAACTCACTGTGCTCTTCTAACTGGGGGAATCCTACAGTTGACCGAAGTTCTTGCCTTTGCATATCTTAGTAATAGCAGTGCTAGTAAGTGCTAGTAGCAATTGTACATTATTACTGTACTGGAAATCTAGAGAGGACAGAGAAATCAGGATATAAATACAGCCACTAGAGAAAGAAAAGAGTACTGGTGATCTGAGATGCGTGCAGCCTTTGTCACCATTTTTGAGTTAAAGTACGTATCAGCTATAGGAGGGTAAGTAAAAGCTGTGTTTAGAGTTTTTACATTACTTTGTCCTTCGTTTCTCTCATATTCTATTGGTTTTCTTTTGGTGGCTTGCAAGTTTTGATAAATGAAGGTCAATATGCAACATGAAGCTGTGAATTGCTCCTTTATAGAGACTAACAGATCCCCATTTCCCTGCTGGATCCAGACAGTATGAGCTGTTCAAACCAACCCAAATAAACAAGCGAATAGACAAACAATATCTCAGAATTTCAGGTTTCTCTCCAGGGTCTCTTGGAGACTAAGTAGGCTCTGCAGCCCTTGAGTCTTGCTGACAGTCCCCCACACAGCTGGTGGCTTTGGCTGCATCTTACAGATGGGGAAACTTAGAGAACAGCCTGAGCAGGGTCAGGAGCAGCATATTTCCTAGCCCAACCCATGCTGTAAGTGCCAGCCTGGCCAAAGCTCCGTCTGCGTGGTGGTGATCTGGAGAAGGAGCCTGGAGGTGCTGGCCTCACAAGTAAAGGAAAAAGGACTGGGGTGAAACAAGTTCCCAAACATACACGTCTCAGATTCCATAACCCCATGGGCCATGCAGGTCATGCACCGGCGGGGCAGTCTCACTGCTAGTGCTGGCTTTCACAGGTCATGGAGCTCTGGGGAGCTCAAACCGTATAAGTGACTTTATGTCGCTTAATTTATATACCCTCACTTTGCCCCGTTAATTGAGACATTTTAGCCTTCCTGAACATCTCTGGATGGACGCATTTAAACCAACTAGAAAGAAACCTCTTTGAATCAGTGAGATCTTGTGAGTGTACTAGCTGGCAAACTGGGCTGCAAAGATAATCCATCCCCTGGGGATTGGATGATTCGGATGAGAATTTGTGGAAGAGTCGTTTCTGATTTCTCTTTGCCTGTTTTTACTCCTGCCTGGGACTAGAAAGAAGCTCCAGTGAAATGGATTGCATACTCCAGGCCTGAGGGACAGGTGAGAGAATAGGTGTGAGTGAGGGGAAGCAGTTAAAGAACAAGTGTGAACTGAAATTCCTGCCTACAGCTTTGGGCACTGAGTTATTTACATTGAACTCTCATTTAGAGCTTATGGGCCACTCTTCATAGCAGGACATCTTAAAAATGTTAAAATACAAGACCATGCCAACGGAGCTGTAAAAATAATCTATCAGAAAATAAGTTTTGGAAGCTCCTTCTTTCCACTTATTTTCAGCGACTATTTAAAGACACTGGACACTGGAGGTCTAATGAAAAGCTTTCTTCTGTTACTAAGTCCTTTGGATGTTGCTGTTTCTTCATGGAAATTCCCAGTGAAATGTCTGCATGGCTGACAGAACACTACAGTGATTAGGCACATCAGTCACATTAGTCACAGCAGCAGAACGAGGTCACCTGGATCTGTGCAACATGCTGCCAGTTTCAAAGGCTGCTTTTACCCATCACTTGCCTACACACCAAGACAAGAGAAATCTATCTGTAGCCCTTTTCTGGGGTTATATCCACACAAGTTCCACTCACAGAGATTAAAGGAATTGTTAATCTTGCTTCAATTAGAGCAGTTTAGCAGAGCTCCCTTCATCTGACTCTATCAGTTTTAGCACTGGTATGGTACAGATACAACACTATATCGGTGTTATCAAAATGAGACCTTGTTTGAAGTTCTATCAAGGGTAAGTAATATTAGAGAAGACAGAGCCAGGTGTGTTTGTCTCTAACCCACCTGATCATCTTCTGGTGAACTGCTGGTACTGATACCAGCAGAGGTGCAGCTAAGAAGAATTGCACATTCCCTGTCCATACTAGTTTGGCTGGAGGTAAATTATCAAAAGCATTTCAAAGACATTCTGGAGTCTAGCTCCCAGACAGTACCTCCTGCTTTCCTTTCCCTTCCAAAATAAAACCAATCCAAACTTCAGTAGGTAGACTAAATGCTGTAAATAAAAGCTCATCAATAACATATATCATAAAGGAAAATAAAAGCAGTTATGTATCACGGGCTTTACTCTGCATCTGCTGAATGTAATGGCAAACACATTCTTTGAAGGTGAGGGGAAGGCAGTCCGTTTTCACTGATTCTGAAGATACCACTCGAAACCTTGCTGCATTTTTAAAATCTAAATCAAATTGCTGTCAAACAGCCATAACACACTATCTAACACAGCCATAACACACAATCTAACTTCTATGTCATACTCCACATGGGTAATTGAATGTGAGGTGGCATAATTTTTTGTTTACACACACTGGAATGTATGAGGCTGAATAATGGTACCTTTGAACTTCCCAGCTTCGAAGGAGTCTTCCCTTTAAATATACAAAATCTGTTAATGTTTTTCTCCTTTACATTAGCAGCCTGAAGGTAGTTGCTTACTTCAAATTATGTTTTCATTTTAACTAAAGGTATCTGTGGATACATTTAGCTCTTCAAAAAGAAGTATCATAAAACCCTTCCTCGTTGTGCTTTTGGTCTTCCTGGAGTGCATTACTGGCCATGTGAGGCAGTTTGGTTGGCCCAATACATTTTTTTTTCTGTACAGAACATTCACTGCCTCATTCCCTCTGAGACTTGCATTTTTATTTCAGAGCTCTTCCATTGCATCTCACTCCTCAATGATTTGAAACTAGAACAAAAAAAAATTTTAATGACCAATTTATTTCTGAATGTAATGCACCATCCCATGTTCTAGAGGATGTCCATGTTCTAGAGAGTGACCTTAAAAAAACTAGCTGTCCATTTGCTCATAAATTATAAATAAGGGTTTTTACTGGCCTCAAACTTATGACTTAAAGCTGCTGAAGAGCTTTGTAATGAAACCACGTTGTTTGTTCTTTGAGGTGCAACCTCAGAGCAGAACCTCTTTTGGAAGTTGACCAAAGATCTCTGGAAGAGGTGAAATGAAGTTGAATAAATGATGCTTTTAAGACTTAAAGGTAAACCTTAGATGTGATACCTTTAGAACTTCTGATCCCTGATAAATCAGATAAAATTCCTGTAATGGAAGTAATGTGGTTATGTTCATTCAACACTGAATAAGTCAGATGTAGCTAATATCAATTTTGGAAGCAGTTCATTTTATCCAGTAATGAAAAAATGTTTGGGTCATAGGGACTCAGGGACTGAAAGTTCATGACCGGATATAGCTTATCTTAAGAAACCTCCACCTTGGTAATCAAAATATATCTGAAAATATTTCAAAATGGTGCTCATTTGAAACCTAAAGTTTACTATTTTGTAAAGAATCTATTCTTAGACTAGCTGTTTCCTAAGGCTATTCCACATTTCTGGGTCCCATCAGTTTTTCCAATGAATCTCAAGCATAACAGCTTTGGTGCCTTCCTGTTTTCAGCCATGGCTCAACTCACAACTCTGCAAACTCACTGCTCTCCTGACAGGTAATGCATCACAATGGCAGGTATCAGTTCATGTAAGATTCTGCTATCCCAGCTGAATTATCCCATAACATGGCAGCTTCACAAGCACACAGCTAGTTGCTTTTGCAGCTTCACAGGAGAAAATACAGTAAGTAAAACTTAGGAATGGCACATGACAAAGCTACTTCCTGCTGCTTTCCATAAAAAAGGTTCTCTCTCCCTTGGATTAATAGTCACCTCACCCCCACATCAGCTTCTTTGATCAACTCAACAACTTGGTCAACAGTTTGTTTAGAGCATGGGATGCTCTAAGCACACTCCCAGATCCTGCAGCCCATTCCTGGCAGCGCTCCCTAGCCCTGGATTAGCTCCAGCCACAGCTCTTGAGATAGTGTCTAAAGCAAATGGTTGACACTATAATAAAGACAAAATTTATTCTTTGATGAAAACACTGAAGTACCAAATTAACAAGTTAACAAGTTGTACTAGGTCTTAAATTTATAGTATTTATCTATTCTGTGATATAACCAGGTTGACTGTGCCCTCTTTCCCAGTGTGAGATGTGTGATGTGAGGCCCCGTGTTACAGATGCTGGGATTTTCCTGAACAGAGCTAGCAGACACCTGTTTATCAGAGGCAGGCCAATGCTGAGCGTCTCAGCTCACACTATCTGCCTAACGCCACTAGCAGTTTACACACCAAGCATCCCTGCACCTAAGTCCCTGACAGCACCATACTGAGCACAAGGCTTAGTAGACACTGCCATCTGCATTCAGAAACATGTCAGAGGAGCACAGAAGGAAATGTGGTAGGGATAGTTTTGCGTTAAAGCCTTTGCTCAGGAATCACAAGATGCAGGTTTAATGCATCCCTGACTAGAAGGGACAAGCCAAAATCACCACTCCAGGCATGATCTCTCTCAACTTACCCAGACTTCAGGGGACTTAGAAAAGTTCATCTTATCTCCACAACCACTGAACTGAGCTCCCAAACCTGAAGAGTTGAAAAAAAACAGAACAAAACCTTACAGCATATGCATGTCTCTTCTGTAACCACTGAAGAAAAAAGAAACCTTCCTGAATTCACTAGGATACAAGGCTGAGCTAAGTAATATAAGTTGCCTTTGCCTTTTGTATCTGGAATCTTTCATTCTCTCTTTGTCTCAGTCCTGGTCTCCTCTCCTCTGTTTGATGCCTTCTCACTCTCTATTATTTGTTTCTCCCTCCCAGGTATAATTTCCGAGGCTTCCGCTGGCTACAGGCTATGATCTTTGCCATAGAAGAAATAAACAGTAGCCCAACTCTCCTTCCCAACATGACCTTGGGATACAGGATATTTGACACTTGCAATACAGTCTCTAAAGCCCTAGAGGCGACCCTGAGTTTTGTGGCCCAGAACAAGATAGACTCCTTGAACCTGGATGAATTCTGCAACTGCTCCGAACATATCCCTTCCACCATTGCAGTCGTGGGCGCAACCGGCTCCGGGATCTCTACTGCTGTGGCCAATCTGCTGGGACTCTTCTACATACCTCAGGTATGCGTTCACTTGGCTTGCTCAGCTTACAAAGCGTCTTGCCTCTCTGCTCGGCAGCGCTGGCCAGGCACGCAGCATAGGGGGGGATATTGGTATTTGGAGAGGATCTTTAAGTTCATTTACCAAACTGTGATAGGGAGCTGGGCTACTGCCTTACACAATCCATTTCTGTTTCAAACGGAAGGAAGTTTAGAAATGCAGAGGCCCTAACTGTAGTAATGGACTCGGGGCAACACAGCAATGCGGAGCACTGGCTTTTAAAGTGGGATGACAGTTTATGTGACAGAATGCAGATTATTTCTCTCCAGACTTATTGAGTCAAATCAAACCAAATACTTGCTGGTGAGAAATACAAGACTGAAGTCTCACATTTGCCAGATATGTATTTGGCAAATGCAGTGGCTGTGCCAAGTTCTTGATCCCATGCTCTGCCAGTGTGTCCTACCTGTACACCAGAAGGGCTTCAGGGGAGTTCAGCCTCCATGGCTTGTTCAGTTTTTGCCACTTAAAATAGGCTCTCAAGGAGAGAAACAATAAAAATTGTGTGTAGGTGGGGGGGTGGGGGAGGTGGGGAGTGGTTCTTACGGTATAAATATCCGTCTTGCTAGAAATTTGTAATCTCCAGACACAAAGGTTACCAGGCAGCCAAGTAATAGCATCCAGCCAACAATAATCTAGTCTAGGAGGAAGGTAGCCTCTAAAGTGGTTTAGTCTGTGAATGCTGGTAATGTAGATAAATTGTTGGCCGTTGTCAACCATGAAAGGTTAGTCCTGATGTGCCTTCATTGTGGTCACCGTCTAGTCATGCCTCCCTCCCACAGAGCTCAGTACAGTAGAGCTCAATCACTGCCAACCATTCTTACATCCCTCAGGATCTTTGATTTATTCAAGTAGCTGATCTGTAAAGTTATTATTTCTGCTGATCAGGTGTTTCACAGCTGACTTGCCTTTCTTTTGCCCTAGGGCCTCCAAAACAACGTTTGTGAGACAGTGTGGATATGCCCCTCCTTGTCCTTGTGTCGTTTCTGTGGCAGTGCATTTGTGCCAGCTCCTGTGTCTCAGCATCCTTCTTGCTGCCTGCTGACTCCACTGGGACTGGTGCAGACATCCACAGTCCCATCCTTTCATTTGATAGACTTGTTGCTCTGCCAAGACCCTAACCTAAGTATGAGGCTGGCACTCTACAGCTTAATGTTATTGCTCTTGGCTTCAGATTTCCGTATTGAAGAGAACTTTTGAAAAGCAGTGCTTGGCCTTAACCACTTACATATTGGCTTGTATAGTCTAATATTTCCAACTCCCCTTCTCAAATGAAGACAGTTGCTGGCGCTTATAAGAGGCCTTGTGACAAGACTCTGTCACGCTGTACTCTCAGTCTATCCTGAGAGTATATGTCTTTATTTCAGCCAGAGCTCCAGTTCCCATTTGTACTACAAACGAAGAGAGAAAGATTCTTGCCTGATACGCAGTAATACTTCTCGTCTATTTAATGCAATTAGTGTGACTCCATTGCTCATATAGGAAATCTGAAGAGGTGGATATTCAGTCTCAGTGCAGGGGAAAAATGGTTTGATCTATGACCAATATGCGCTAACTAAGCATTGCACATGGTAGCACTGGAAGGTGGGGATTTAATAAGCACTGTGATGGCATTTTAAGGCATACTGTTAATTTGCACATCACACCGCCAGGTGAACAGGGGCTGCTCAGAAAAGTTGGTGAGTTGAACTTAAGAGAATAGATTGTTGCAGCTCTCGGAATTTTCCTTTGAGCAGGGAATGGTGTTTATGTTACAAGGAAGTATTCTTATCTAGCGCTTACAGTAACAGATAGATGTCGGGAGGTTCAGTTCACAATGTGGAACAAAATTTCAGCCAGATGGTTAAAGTTTGACAGCTGAGAGCAGGCTTTTAAAATGGGAGTTGTCGGGCAGCGTTAGAATATGCATTATCTCTGCCATTTATAGCAAGGCCATTAGCAAAAATCCATGCTTAATAGACCCTACATTTTAGTATAAGTTGGAGATATATTTTATAATTAATGTAAGGCTCATTACTCATTCCGTTGACATAGAAACTGAAAATGTTATGACTTCTGTTCTATTTCTATTTCTATTTCTATTTCTATTTCTATTTCTCAATACCTTATCTCGGTGTATCCTATAAAATTCCAAGTAGCTAAGCAGGAGGGAAATCATTAAAAATAGGCTTTTGCACCTTTGAAAACTATGCTAGGATAGCTTCTGAAGCTCCAAAAGGAATTGGCACTACTGAGATCTAAATGGGGAAGCCACTGTAACCTGCACTAAAATGACCCTCACTTGAGGCATCCAGGCCTGGCTGTTGTACACCTAAGATACATAAAAAGGAAATTCAGATATCAGGTCCCTTATAGCATGTGCAGGAGTGTAGGTGGTAGGAGATGAGGGCAGCACTGGCCAGGAACGTGTCTAGGGAAGGGTATAGCTCCGTGAAAGGAGAGACTTGCTCCTGTGGTGCTTGGAACTGCACTAGGAGGGCTCCTTTTTTTCATCCTTCTAGGAGAAGAGTGCAAGTCTTTATCATTAAATGGCAGAATTTAAGAAGGAGATAAGGTTTTGGGCAGACTTCCACTCTGTGCAAAATGAACTGTTTAGAGAAGATCTTTTCAAAGTGAGAAGGAGTCCTAAAGATTTCAGATACCAGTCTCAAAATGCAAAGATACCTGAGTTTTAAAACTTCTTCACATCTCTAAACTATTTTATTTTGGATTTTACTCTTTTCTTCCTACTTCTGGAAAATCCAAACTATATACTGAGAGCATATGGCACTTGTTCTGATTAGGAAAAATAAAACATTTCTTGGTAGTTTTAGAAAAGGAGACAAAATCCCATTTTAACTGCAAGACAGTGGTTCATGGCGTATGGAACGCCTACTGACTTCTTTGCTGATTCTGGTCAGGAATCAGGAAATACTACTAAGGTAATATTGACCACTATTGACCTTAACACTCCCCAGGATCAAGGCAGCTGATGTAGATCACACTCCTCTTACTGCAGCCAGCAGGGGTATTGCATATGGTTCCTGATGAAGCCTGTTTAAGGACGGGGAGGGAGATGACAGGCAAGGAGAGACAGAAAATGCTCCACAGTAGGCCTGGGAGGACAATACAAGGCTGCTGTCTCATGTCCAGTTCAGGACAGAAGTTTGCAGTTTTCCTAAATGATGTGCATGGTCTTAATTTTTCTGAAAGATAGTTCTTTTTTGTGGATTTGGCAAGAAGTGCAGAGATGTGTGTGCGTAGGCAACCTGTGGCACACCTCTTTGCCATTCCCCCAAGCTAGTGTCTGTGTCTCTCCTCACATCCTTGACCAAACATGTGCACACGTGCTCGCTCTGGCCTCTTGGGTCTGAGCAGCTGCTCGAGCGTGTGCACCTCTGTAAGACATTCACAGCTACAAGAACATACAGACTCTCAGAGTGGATCATGTGCAATCAAAGGCTAAGAGTATGTTGCTGACAGAATGTGGTACCCAGCTCTCCCTTCACCATATCTGAGGTAACAGTGATGCTAGACAGATGCAGGCAATTTATTCCCAGTCAGTCCACTTCATGATCTGTGCTGCTTTTTCCCGGTGCTCTTGCAGGTCAGCTACGCCTCATCCAGTCGTCTCTTGAGCAATAAGAACCAGTTCAAGTCCTTCCTCCGCACAATCCCCAATGACGAGCATCAAGCCACTGCGATGGCAGACATCATTGAGTACTTTCGCTGGAACTGGGTGGGAACAATCGCAGCTGATGATGACTATGGCCGGCCAGGGATTGAAAAGTTCCGTGAGGAGGCAGAGGAGAGAGACATCTGCATTGATTTCAGTGAGCTCATCTCCCAGTACTCGGATGAAGAAGAGATCCAGCAGGTGGTGGAGGTCATCCAGAACTCCACAGCGAGAGTGATTGTCGTCTTCTCCAGTGGCCCCGACTTGGAACCTCTCATAAAAGAGATAGTCAGGCGAAATATCACCGGCAAGATCTGGCTAGCGAGCGAGGCTTGGGCCAGTTCGTCCCTCATAGCCATGCCAGAATTCTTCCGTGTCATCGGCAGCACCATTGGATTTGCACTGAAGGCAGGACAGATCCCAGGCTTTCGTGAGTTTCTGCAGAAGGTGCATCCCAAGAAGTCTACCAACAATGGCTTTGCCAAGGAGTTTTGGGAGGAGACATTTAACTGCTATCTCCCCGATGGGTCCAAAAATTCCCCAGCCTCAGCCTCTTTCCACAAGGGCCATGAAGAAAGCCTGGGAGCGGGAAATGGTACAGCTGCCTTCCGTCCTCCATGCACAGGGGATGAGAATATCACCAGTGTGGAGACACCATACATGGACTACACGCATTTGCGGATATCCTATAATGTGTACTTGGCAGTATATTCTATTGCCCATGCTTTGCAGGATATATACACCTGTACCCCTGGGAAAGGACTCTTCACTAATGGATCGTGTGCAGATATTAAGAAGGTTGAGGCATGGCAGGTAAGTCTTTCATTAGTATTATGGTTTATCTGTAATATGTCTGGGCAGGTAAGTCTTTCATTAGTATTATGGTGTATCTGCAATATGTCTTTAGGGAAAAGACAAGCTCTCCAGGAGCTCTCCTGGGGAAGGGGTGCCTTTGGTAATCTTGGGTCTCAGACACGCAGTCGGGCTCCTGTGACTTAGCTGCATGTGAGCTAGGTGCATGCTCCCACCCAGCAGTGAATGTAAGGTAATTTGTGTTTTAGGTTTGCCTGCAGTGTTTAAACTAAGTTAAATTTCCTTGTATTTGCTACAGGCCAAAAGTGCACACACAGACAATTACTGCAGCCTGGCTGACACATGGTAACTTGATCATATATTGAGCCCTTACATAAACAAGAGGGCCTGGAGAGAGCACATAAACAAGGAAAACAGTTTTTAGAGTTCATTTTATTTGGCAAGATCTACAGCTTTTGCAATCCCACAGCATTTTTTCATACAGGCCATACTTTTTCCACAGTTTCAAGCTTATATAGGATCAAACTAAAGCAGGTTGAATAATGGAGAAAAATAATGTGTGACTCTTTGGCAAGTAATAGGTAGCTGCTTTGATTTGGCAATGATACTTGTGAACTTATAAAACAATAGCAATGACTCAGTCACATTTGCCAAATCATTAGATCTATTCTGCTCACTAGCATATGGATAGTATCCTGGCATTCTGTTTTCTGATCCTTTAGGAGTATTCTGTAGCCCATCATGTGTTTGATTGTGCTATCCACTGTGATAATCAGCATGTGTTTTTAACATCCTCTGCACTCTCAAACAAGAGAACTAGCTTGTAGAGCTATCAAATAAATATATGCCAAATACGTGGCAAATTCTGTTTTCCCAGCTCTGGCCATCAGTGAAAACTTGGATCCAACCATACCTGAAATCAGAACAATGCTGTTGAATGTAATGAGGATCACATCCCTGTTTGTATGTGTCATTTCCTCTATTCAGGCTAGTCAAACCAAAATAAAGGCTATCCATGCTACAAACTTCACGAATGTTGGGTCAGCACTCACATGTGGAAACTGCAGTTTGGTTCTTGTCTAGTTTCAGTCAATGTGTAAACATCAATGAGATCAAACTAAGAGGTTTCATCTTGGCATTTATGGGAAACCGGTATCCTTTAGCTCTAGATACCTCATTCAGGATTACTGAAACCACTTTACTCGGAGCTGATGGGGGCACGATTTGACCTTGGTTTAGGGGAATTCTGCAATTGCTGGCTCTCTCTGAGATTTCAGTCTTTCAATGCTGTTCTGCTTTTCAAGAGCATATTGGCAGAAGTGGGCAAGTCATAGACAGCTTTAGCCTAGACTGTGTCAGTAAAAATGTTCCAGAATAAATATATTTTTGATTCATTCCCTCATGCCTTGTCAACTTGGAAAGTAAAAAGAGCAGAATATTCATACCATAGCACAGTAAAATAGTGTGCTGTTTGTCAAGGATTCCATAATAGGGAAGAAGGTCCTTTTGTTTCTGTGTTGCTTGTCTGATGCTGAAGGATGATGATATCAAAATGTGAATCCAGGTATTTGGGTATGCATACTTGCCCTAAAGGAGGGAAGCAGCATCAAGAAAGAATATGTAGGGGGGTAACATGAGTGGATAGGAATAGTGGGTGCTATAAAGGGAACAGGGTATATTTGAAATGATCGCTATTACGTGGTGGTGGCAATTGAGCTTATTGGATATTTGGGCAGTTTCTCACTTCATTTCAAAATCACACACATGAATAGCAGGTAAATGCCAGATTTGTATGCACACCTACTTCACATCAGGCATTGCGCCTCATTACCCTCAGGCAGCTTTCATCAGCCACTAGGGTAATGGGTTCATCTTGCAAACATGCATCCTCCAGCATCTCTGGAGAGTGGTTTTCTGAACAACCAGAATCTAAGTTTGAAGAAAACCTTTCTATTCAAATCAAACTCATTCCCAGTGGTACTTCTGCTAGTGGTCAGTGCTTCCTTCTGTTTCAGAAAATCAGTTCAAGGCTTTCTTATTGTAAAGCGATCTGAGACTGTGAGGAAGGTGTTAGGAAGCCTCTACAGCAGACTGAAGGCAGCAGCTGCTAGTAGTGTCTGAAATCACGGACCAGGTGGTGTGTTGGACAGATAAGGCATTCCCTGTGAACCCGTGGCCCCATTAGCCTAAACTCCTGTCCAGAGCAGCCTGTGCCACTGAGATTGGTGGCTTGTGAGGATAAATGAGGTGTTCCTCAATTTAATTATGTATGATTTAATTTTGTTGCCTTTCAATGGCATTAGCCTATTAACTCATATGAGTTATTATTTATTCATTATCTGCTAGCTCTTATTATTTTTTACCCAGAATATAAACCTTTGCAAGGGAACTGTTTCGTATAATTTGTGGGGGGTATATGTATAGATTTGTATATACAAATCACATTTTTACCTCAGTAATCAGTTCATCTGAACTGGAGAGTATGAAGCCTACACAGAATTACTGTGAGTTTGTTAAATTGGGTGCAATACAACTTTTATGAATTTACCATCTACAGTTTGACAAAGCTCAAACTAAAAAAAAAAAAGCTCAAGTATGTTTCACCATAGGGCACATAGGATTTTTACGTGCCTCCTAAGCTAAGATGTCAGATAGTAACAACTTTCTTCTCTACTTATTTGTAGCTACTTGTTTAAGAAAGATATCTGTGCTGCACTTATTCTGAAGCATGTATATGCTAGCTATGGTAATGTTTTATAAAATTACCCTACTGCAAGGCAGAAAATAGTCCAGGTGCACACTGAGCTGTGCAGGATGTCTGTAAAGACCAGACAGTATTCTCTGCATATGTCATTAGGTATGTATCCTGCACAGTATTCAACAACGTCAGATGAAATATTTCTATTTGAGGTATTTTGTCCTGGTGAAAAAGCACAGGGCAATCCAGAACAATGTGTATAAGGAATTTCTGTCGCATTTGGAAAAGATAAAACTTTATACTAAACACTAAGGATTAAAGTGCAAGGCTACAAATGGTACAACGGAAAGGGTCCTCGTAAAGGGCTCCATCACCTCTAATTACCAGACA